ATAGTTCCCTGATCTTCTAGTGTAGTGATTCTCAAACTGTTAGCCTCCAGGTGTTATGAACTTCCAGAAGCCCTCCCAGGCAAGAGAGTCTAGGAGTTGAAATCCCAAACATTAGCCAGAGTTTGAGAACCACCACGGTAGTGTCTACATGTCCTTTGTCTAGTCCAGGGAGTAAACAAGTAGCACTTGGCCTCATTTGGGCATGAGCTGGCAGGAGCTGAGACTAGTCTTATCAGAAAGCTGTCCGGAAATGCTTGTAAAAGTGGAGTGAGCAGGAGTGGCAGGTTCCTCCTTCTGCACTCTTTCCTTTCATCTTTCTTTTTGTAGGTCAAAATTGACATCCTGTGTTGCCTAAGAGGCTTTTCAGGAGGGAAGAAATGAAATAGGGAGATGACAGAAAAACGATGTAGTACTTCTTTGGCAACCCCAAAAGGGTATACAGTATGATCCCTGAATCAATGGGGGATACGTTCTAAGACTTATCATTGAAACAGTTAGTGAATACAATTGAAATGTATGTCTTCCACCATGAGTTACTATAGAGTTGCCTTTGAGGACCTAGAAATTCTTAAAGAAGTATACCCAGTAGGAGTTTACTGGGTTTTCCAGGGTTACTATTGTATCTTCTAGTGAAAGCATATCACTGAATCTTTTAAAGGACCTTGATATTCCCAGAGAGGACATTTTTGTCGTATGTGGGTAGTTGAAGCCACAGGTCCCGATTCTGCAGGTATGGGGTTTATACTGTGCTACAGTCTTACGTGTAGGGAGGAACAAATACAGTTTTACACTATGTCCTGCTACAATTATTCCTTTATAGATTTATACATTAAAGAGTTTTGTGTTTCCTGAAGAACTTACACTTTGCTATTCTTTTGCTTGTTTTCAGCATCACACTGGACTTTCTATGCTTATAGTTCAGTAAATGCATAGAGCACCTTGCTGGCACTCAGAGATTTTTTTTAACAATCCTCCTTTGAACTTCACTTAGTTTTAATGGAAACCTTATGATGTAGCTTGAAGGGGACTGCTGGAAGGATGAGAGATAGAATTCCCACTAAGAACATATTCACACCAACCAATAGGGTTGATGTAGATGAAGATCGTCCTGCGGCAGCCAAACACCATATGAAACCGATCCAGGGTAATGCTGGACAAGGCACCTCAATGTAGCCTTACCCTGCATTACCCAAAGTCATTTCCCCTGACTCAGGAACTTTCCCATGACCTAGGAACTGTGGGGACAGCTCTTAATCCAAACCCCACTATCCTGACAAAACAGAGCAAACTGAAGCCTTCCAGATGTTAGTGTATCCAACTCCCATCAGCTCTAGCCATGATGTCTATGAGAAATATAGTAGTCCAGCATCTGAATGGCCACATACAATGGCATTGCAGACTGGATTGGCCTTGAGTTTGACATATGTGGTATAGAGCAAGTATTTTCATCATTCTGCAAAACCATGGTATAATATGTGTAGCTGGGTGGCACAAAGTGTGGTCCTCATAGTTGCTCACTGGCAACTGTGGGCAGAGGTCCCTTACCACAAGAACCCAGTATCCATCAATGCATATTTTCTTATTGTTGTTGTGTGCCTTCACTTGATAATTACTATTTCAGTCAGACTTCTGAACATCTCACTCAATAGATATGCTACTTAAAATATTTGCAGCTTGCTAAATCATTATTATGTGTGCTGTCCAGGCATTTTTTGCTGTTTCAGTAGTAAGCATTGTCTAAATTGATTGCATGCTGCATGGCCACAGGTTTCTTATGTTTTCTACTGCTGAATTTCACATCTAATACTGTTGTTTATTTGTCATTTGTATGTAAAATCCTTTTGCATATATACAAACATTCTGTATTTAAGCATTTAAGAATTAAGGCAAAGACGTAGAGTGATAGCAACCAGATAGCCTTTACTTTCTGAATGTGAGCACAAAGTTGAAATTAATTGTGATTTAGAAGGGGAAGTTAACTGGATCAGACACAATTTCTGTTGAAATGTTGAATTTTCTAAGGTAAACCTTTAGAGCTCTCAAGTTTTAATTGTGGATGTGACTATTACTCTGGGTGTTTTTATTGATGTTTGTAGTTCTGTTGTAATAACATTCAGTCTTCACTTTATGGAGCAACCACTTTTTGTGAGTCATTGAGCTCTAATTGCTATGAACAAGCAACTTTTTTTTCTTATAAGTCTTTTGACTGTCCAGCTCAGTCCTGGGTATTGGGCCAAACTCCATGTTGCGTAAGCATACAATTTAAACATGTGGGTAGGATCTGACACTTGTTAGTGCCTCGCACTGGTAGGGAGACTGGACCTGGTACACAGGAGCATGAAGCTCTCAGAGAATGGAGGCTTCTTGCCAGTAAGTCTGAATGCACCCACTGTGTTTTCTTAGAGGTAATCAAGTTCTTGGAAAGTGACCATATGGACCGGTTTTGTAGATTTTTATGCCAGGGTGTTCTCAGCAAGACGGTGTTTTTCATTCTGGCTCTGACTTAAAGCAGCCGCATGTTGCAACGTTTTTTCTTTTGCCAGGTATCCTCTAAACCCTAAGTCATAAACCTTTGCTTCTGTGTTTTCCATCAACACTAGCTTCTCTTTCAGTATTTAAAATATCTACACACACACAAACCTGAATATACTGTGCTAGACCTTCCTTTCTGTTAGTCAGACTTTTTTTCTCAGCATTCCATTCATATGACTTATCTTGCCACTCTTCTGCTCTGCCACTCAGCCTCCTCCATAGATCATAAATAGCAACCCAGTGGCTATGCTTTCTATTATCCTAACACTGGCAAGGCACAGAGGTGAGAGATTTCTTAGGAGTTGTCCTTCCTTCTGCATTCCTTAGCCATGTGATTGGTTTAAAATTGCATTTAGTAATAGTTCTCCCATGAGATATCTAGAGAGCATTTTGATTCTTCAGTTAGCATCTGTTGCCAGACCTGTTTGGTCTTGTTCTTTTTGGTCATGTTAGGATTGTTCAACATGGCCCAATTTTGCACTTCAGTTAGAAATGCTGTACTTCTGTAAGGGAGAGCATCACTCATGGTTTAGGATGCAAGTTATAAAAGGAAAATGGATAAAACCACTACTGTTTTTTGCACTTAACTGTTAGAGAGGGGTTGTGTAACAATGAAGAAATGGGCTCCCAGGCTCTGGGAGGCTGAGTCTCTTGGTGCCCTTGCTCTGTGATTTGGATCTTTAGTCTAAATTAAAGGTACCATATTTCTTCGAGCTGTGAAATGAATGTTCAAAGACCTCAAGATACATACAGATCTCAGTAGGGTTATGAGAAGGCCTACAAGGCATTCATCTTGTTTCCTGTGTCAGGCACTGAAAACGAGCAACAGTGCTCAACAGATTTCATGTGTAGCTGTGTGTGTGTTGAGCTTCATTCACACATCAGCATTATAGTGCTAAGATTCCACTTCAACTGCCATACCAACTTCCTATAGAGTACCAGGACTTTCCATTGAGGAGGGCCAATTAAAGTGCACCAGTGCCTCACTGAAGTATACACTCCAGGATTCCATAGGATGAAACTCCCTGGCTTTTAAGGTTTCACTTTAGGCCCCAGCTTAACACCTTTTGCTACATAAATAAATATCAGGGGGCCTGTGCTGAATGATCAGCATATAATGTACACTGAAAGAAATGTTCAATGTTATACTGGGTGAGGCAGCATAACTTCCTTTTTTAAAATGCGCGCCATTCAGTCAGTTGACTACGTAGCAGAGCGCTAGTGGTTTCGTTCGAGAGGCGGGAGTATGAAGTTTTGTCCTGACACAGTTCAGTTGCCATCATGCGTTGGAACAGTGAGGAGCGTGCTTTTGCCGTTGAGGTCTACTTTTCGAGCGGATTTGGAGTGGCCGACCCGCTCTCCAGATTTGGCCCCTTGTGATTTTTTTCTATGGGTTTTTTTGAAATCCCGTGTTTATGTGAACCGTCCAAGGACCCTACAAGATTTGAAGACCAATATCCAGGAAGAAATTGCCAACATAACGCCTGCTATGCTGGCAAGAGTCATGACAAATGCCAGAAATCTGTTTACTCAGTGTATGGAGAACGGGGGATGTCGCCTAGCTAATTTGATCTTCAAAACTATGTAAAACAAAACTTTAGGTATGCACCTACATTATAAAAAAAAAATTCTGATTCATACAATGGGTTTTATTACATTTTTGAAAAAAGGAAGTTATGCTGCCTCATCCTGGATAAGCATTTTAAATGTTATTATCATATTAAATTAACTTCAAAGATAAATGCCATGGTTCAGATTACTCCAGATAGTTTTTCCTAAGTGTCATCTAGGTAAGAAACTCTAATTTTCCAAATTTAAACTTCTTACATGTTCTAAAAGATTTGTACTAGTCACACATACTGTATGGTGGAATATTAGTTCATTCATTCACCTCTGATTTGCTTTATGAACAGAAGGAGGTGAATATAGCGCACTAACTGCATGAGGCAAAGTGGGAATTGTGCAGCCCTCCACAATGTTGCAGAACTATAAATCCCACCTTTCTTTCAATTTGGATGTGTTGGCTCAGGCTCCTGAGAGTTTAAGTGTGATAATATAGCATTCAGAGGGCTGTGAAATTTTCACTCCTGCTGTGAGGAGCCTCCCCTGAGAACATGCTGTTCTGCTGGAGCATCATCAGTATGTAGGCACAGATTGAATTATTCATTTACACCCACAATGAAGATAGGACTGAATTGAAGGAGGCAAAACCAGAGCAGTATATCATGCAGATGTGCAGTAGGTTGGTGGGGAGCTTTTTTGTGAACAGTTGTTTGGGGCTCAAAGGAAGCTTGTTTTCTTTTTTTCAGTTTAATATCCCTCTGATGGTGCACAGATTGGGAATTTCTCGTTTATGCTGTGGGTTGCTTACTTTTAAGGCACTTTCGGTTTAAAATAAATATTGAAGATACAGACCAAGTGAATTTACATTGACTTAGTCATTTTTCTCTTTTCTTCTCTTTAAATAGATATTTGATTTAATGGATGCTAAAGCGCGTGCAGATTGCATCAAAGAAATAGATCTTCTTAAGGTAAATGTTTACTTTGCTGACGAGCTCTGTGAATTAGTTGGGCCTCCTTACTTGAAATGCTTGAGACCAGAAGTTTTTAGATTTCAGTGGATTCTGAAATACCTGTATTTGCATATATACAGTGAAGGAGGGATAGGGAGAAAGGGGGTTAGTCACATGTCCAATGCCCACTGCCCCCCCCCCCTCCGAATCCCATGCTCCAAAACTCCCAGAAATCTGAATGGGGAAAGAGAAAAGGTGCATAGGATGCTGGTTACACAAATCCCCTGCAAAAATCACATGTCTTAGATCAGGGGTCCTCAAACTTTTTAAACAGAGGGCCACGTCACAGTCCCTCAAACTGTTGGAGAGCCGGATTATAATTTGAAAAAAAAATCATGAATGAATTCCTATGCACACTGCAACATATCTTATTTGTAGTCCAAAAAACACTTTAAAACAATACAATAATTAAAATGAAGAACAGTTTTAACAAATATAAACATATTAGTATTTCAATGGGAAGTGTGGGCCTGATTTTGGCTGATGAGATAAGGTTGTTGCTATTGTGTGCTTTCAAGTCGTTTCAGACTTAGGTTGACCCTGAGCGAGGGCCGGGTAAATGACCTTGGAGGGCCGTATCTGGCCCCCGGGCCTTAGTTTAAGGACCCCTGTCCTGGATGCTTCCATGGCTGTCAGCACTCTTTTGGCTCTTTTAGAAATGTAGCTAGGAAAAGAGGGGAAAGTCCTGAGATGATACAAGACAAGATCAGGCAGCTTTCCCATGTTGTATCAATTCTGGCAGCTGCTGGGAGTAGCAGTCCAGTAACATCTGGAGGACACAAATGCCTCACCCTAATACAGGGCATATATTGCTTTTAAATACAACCAAACAAAACTTTGTATCCTTAACAGATTATTGTAGTTAAGAACCATGGAAGAATATACTTCTTTATTTGTAACCCATTGCATAGATTCATAACACCTTTAGGAGAGATCATAGTCAACAACAACAGCAACATAGATTTTATAGTGCAGTCAGTAGCATTCGGGTAGTATGGCAGATCCAGCAATCAACTTTGAGTAGATTTGCAACCAAGAAAAAACAGCAGTTTGTGTAATTGAGAAGTGCTAAAATGTTAACGTGAATCACTAATAAAATCCACCAGAGTATAGTATTCTTGAGCAATGCAAGAACTACACACACTGGGTTAAATTCACCTCTAAGTGTTTGTTTTTAAAAAAAATAGATTTGTGTTAAGCACATCAAACCCCTTCTTCCCCAGACCTGGGTTTTTTGTTTTTTTTTTGGACTTCCATATCTCTCATAGTGGAGTTTGGAGTGTGACTGCTTCAGGTTGTCTTTTATACTGATAACAAGTTCAAATAGGTGCCATTACTGTAGGTACTACAGGTAATGAGTGGAGGACAGAGGAGCCTCTTAAAGAAGTTACAGGTTTGTGAGACCCAGAAATCTTGCTTGTTTTTTGTAGGTGACCAAATACTTATTTTCCACTATAATTTGCAAATAAATTCGTTAAAAATCAGACAATGTGATTTTCTGGATGCGTTTTCTCATGTTGTCCCTCATAGTTGAGCTCTACCGATGATGCCAATGACAGGCCTCTCTCATCTTTTAAAGTGGGAGAACTTGTACAATTGGTATCTGACTAAATACTCCCCCCCCCCCCCATTGTATGTGAAAGGGCATCATAAGGAAGAGGGAACAGACTTATTTTCTGTTGCCCTTAAAACTAGGACTAGGAGCTATGGGTTCAAATTATAGGAAAGGAGATTCCACTTGAACATTAGGAAGAACTCCCTAACTGTGAGAGCTGTTCAACAGTGGAACTCTCTGCCTCGGAGTATGGTGGAAGCTCCTTAGCCAGAAACTTTTAAACAGAGGCTGGATGGCCATCTGTCAGGAATACTTTGATTGTGCTTTTCCTGTATGGCAGGGGTTGGACTAGATGGTCTTTTTCCAATTCTATTATTCTATGATCCTGATTCAGCAGGGCTTAAATCAAATAGTTACAACCCACTAAGAAGAACTGGTTTCGGATATTGGTGGTAATAATTGAATGAATATACTGTGAAATCTGCTTTAGGTTTGTTTGAATCTCTCAGGCTTGTTAAGTTCGAGATGAATTTGGGGTTTGACTAAATTGGTTTCTAATTTGTTCTAAAAGATGATATGCTATAAAAAACTATAATACAATAAATGCCCCCATGAGTATTGAGTTTAAATGGGTATGTATATTTAATATTTAATATTTTAATAGTTACCCTTTGTCACCATTTTATTGATGCTTAAAAGATGTGTAGCAAGCAATAAATGAAAATATCTGTTTGTTTTTGTAGCAACTGAATCATCCAAATGTAATCAAATACTATGCATCATTTATTGAAGACAATGAGCTAAATATAGTGCTGGAGTTAGCGGATGCTGGAGATCTTTCTAGAATGATCAAGGTATGCTGTATTTCTCCTAACAGAATGTTTTATTGTTCTTTGTTTGGAGCTACTACAAACATTATTTTTCATATTTTATTACTTTCTTTTTGAATCACATTATTTGGGTACTGTTTTAAATTTTGATTGTCAAAGATTCTAAATAGAAATAATGGCTCCAGTCTTAGTCCAGGTTACAGATGTGTAAATCTTTCCCCAACTTGTCAGAATTGCACATGTGCAGCTGTCTGCCAAAGTTTGCACTTTATTTGCACAGGCAGTACACGAGTGGAAGAAAAAGTGGGTTGAGAGAAGAGCTCAGCTTTACACTCCAGATCTGGCATCATGCCACCCTTGTATATTCTGTTTGTAGTTCCATTATAAATGTTCTCTTTCAAGAGTTTTTTCCATGATGGTTGTAAAATTTTGCTAATAGCTGTTGAAGCTCAAAAATGTATTTGCTTTGAAGTTGTATATGCAAAGCAAACAAATACCCCTCGGGGGCATATAAGGCTTTCCCCCAGAATACAAGATCTTTGCAGATCTTGGAATTACTGCTTTCTTGGGCTGTTGTTCCCAGAATCCAACAATTTGCTGATAGTGCAACATGGAAATGACTTAAAGTGATATTTTGGATGATACTGAAAAATATATATTGGAGGATGGGGGACCTGAAGCTTGAAGGACATCTAAGAATTTTGGGGGGCACAAAGTTGTAGGAGTTGCTTGTAGTGTGCCTCCTCTAAAAGGAGGAGCACATATTATGGCCTAGAGCTTCAGAATCCTGAATCAAATTCTACCATCTCATTAAGCTGGTTTATTTGTCAACTGGCCTTCCTTTATATTCATGTAATGCAGATCTTAGATAGGCTTAGATGTAATGCAGATCTTAGATAGGCTACCATTTTTCCAATTTTGTCACTAATTTTGGTTATGAAAACTGGCATCTCACTTTTCTCTGTTTAAGGGTTAGGGAAAAATGGGAATTACTGGAGCTAGAATGAATATTTTGGGTTTTAGACCAAGAACCTGAGTGTTATAGTCTTGGAATGAAAAAAAAAGAAAGCTAGCTATCTTTTTCCATTACTGTTAATGAAGGCTTTCTAACAAATTAATTAATCGTTGTACTTTGGCCAGTACTCATAACACATTCCAGAGAGATTTCAATTGTCCAGTTATTCAAGGCATAGAGATCAATAGCTTAAACGTGCCCAAGAAGTTGATTAAATTGTGTCTTGAAAGAAGTGTGAAACCATGAAACCTCCTTTTATTTTCAGTTAATCTCTGTAAGCCAAAATTTGTCATTATTATTTATTTAAAACTTTTATATCCCGATCTTCTCAACCTCTGTAGAGGGACTCAGACCGGCTTTAAAAAAAAACTACTTTAAAAAAACTACTTGCCAAAAAACCCTCCAATATTTTTGCTACTTCTTAATTGTTGTCATCAATGAAATAACTTATGCCAAAAGATATCTGTTTAAGATACTTTGACTTGGTTGCAACATACCATGTCCAGTGACCAACTCCTTCCGTATTTCAGCTATTTTTCTGGCTGAAAAACAGGCAATTCTCTTTCTCTTGTACAGCCTCACTGTGTGTGTAGGGTGACAGAGGGCTGAGGACATGCTCTCAGGAGAGGGAGATTATGGAGAGGTGGGGGGGGGGGGGGGGGGGGGGGAGAGGAGAGAGAGAAGCCATCAGAAGCACCAGAACCCCCCACTCCACTTTTCCCTTCTATTCCCCTTCACAAGCCCTACCCCTTTAGTAAGGAAAGGAGGTGTGGCTTTTGGGATATCTCCCTCCCCCATGCCTCCAGGGAAATCAAGGGAGGAGGAGGAAGAAGAGGAGTAGAAGGGAAAGGAAGACGAGAGGGAAGAGAGGAGAGGGGAGAAGATGGGAAGGAGGAAGAGGGAAAATAAAAAGAGAAGAAAGAGGAGAGGAAGAGGAGGGGAGAAGAAGAGCAGGAAGGCAAAGAGGAAGAGGAGGAGGAAGAAGCTAAGGAGATGAAATTCACCATGTACCCATCACTAACAATGCACATACATGAAATGAAACAACCGAGTCAGATAAGCCATTCTTTCCCACTTCAAGTTTTATTGCAATGTTTATTGCAGTCAAACCCATCATGTTTATTTATACCCTGCTTTTCTCTCCAACGAGGAGACTCAAAGTGGCTACTGAATGTCTGTGTTTCTCCAGCCCTCCTTCACAATCCTCCCAATGCTGATGCTGCTAAAAAAATGGTTAGACAAGAAGAAGAAAGAAAAGTGGAGAAAGGCCTCTGGGCAGCCTTTGCAAAAAAAAAGGGAAAAAAACAACTCAAAGAGCATTGTCCTCGGTTTTGTTTAAGAGCATCCGTTCCATGAATATTTGTTGGAGTAAATGTGCACCTCAGTACCTCTGAGGATGCTTGCCATAGATGCAGGCGAAACGTCAGGAGAGAATGCCTCTAGAACATGGCCATATAGCCCGAAAAAACCTACAACAACCCAGTGATTCCGGCCATGAAAACCTTTGACAATAAAATGTGCAAAATTTGTCAAAACTAAATCTCTTTTAAATTTATGGCTGACAGTTAGTTGGTTATTCTAATACCATGCAAGTGCTGTTTTTGGACAACACTATTGGATTTTTTTAAAAAAAAATTCCAGTGTAAATCTTTTTGTTTTTCAGATTAACTCATTCTGATTTTTAATTCTATTAATAAAGTGTCTCTCAACGGTTGGGTAAAATAATAAAAGTTCATTCCTTTGAAGTAATCTTTGTCCTGTGCCATCAAAATATTGTTTTGTTTGGATCTTGGAATATTTATTTTGATTTCTACCAGACACTACTGGAAATTTATCTGCTTGCTTTGAAGAATATTCCTTGTCACAATGACAGGGTTAAGCTAAGACGGTGAAAAAAATCACTACATTGATTGACAATGTCCTGTTAATATTTATAACCAAATTGTATATATTTTGCTTATGAATTAATAATTCTGTAGGTTTACATTTCCTACAACATAAAGGTTTTGTTTTCTCTTCTGAATATTTCTATTTGACATAACACTTATTAATATGAGGTCTCCCTCCCTTCCCACATCTCTCTCCCTGTGGCAGATTTCATTATGGCCTATTGATGCCTTTATTTTACCCGGGGCTGTCAACTTTTAGCCAATTTAACACTCTTGCTTTAAACTATTAAAAATAAGTATTCTATTTTTTTTCTTTTTTGAGACTTTTTAATGAGAATAGCAGTTCCTCTTGAAAACTAAATTCTTTATGTGTTTGGAACTTTTTTGTATATGTTTCCAGAGTAATCAAAGAACAAATATTGTTTACTGTAATGCAATCAGACCTTGAATGCTTGTTCAGAGAGGTTATCTCTAGATATATCATATGTTAAAATATGTTTGTAATTAGTTTTTTGGTAATTTTAATGCAAGATAAAGAAATCCATAGGACAGGTTAAGTTTTGGATATTTCTTACCTTCTCCTTTGTTATTGTTGAGTAGTTCATGCTGTCTTAGGTGTTGTATGTAATATAGTAAATCGGATTGCTGTTTGAAGTTAATGACAACCTATCAAGTGATGATTAACTATGTATAAAGTGTCAAAACAGACCTACATTTTCATAGTTTTCGTAGATGGAGTATACCCCCAATTCATTTCTAAATGGCGGTTTGAAGAGAAGGAATATGTTATTCAATGGAAAAAAAATGTGCTTCTCTATTTGTAGTGTCTTTGCCATATGATCTAGGAAAACTAGTAATTAAACTCAGGAACCAAGCTCTGAGAATCTAGTAAAGATGATGATGGTTTGCAGCCTACTTTTTCATTGGAGCATATGGTGAATCTTTAATATACTGTTGTGCCTTAAAGTCATTTCTAACTTACAGTGACCCTAAAGTGGTTCAGGATTTTCTTGGCAAGGGTTTTTCGGGGGGGGGGGGGGTTTCTTTAGCCCCTTCCCTTTTTTAGGTTGATTTATGAATCAGTTTCATTTTGGTGTAATGGCTATTTTCACATATTTTTAAATTTTCTTAATACCACAGTTGATACTAGAGTTGGTCATAAACAACTAATAACAAAAAGATTTTTAATATTTGGAGGACCATTTTCGTTTAATTTCTGAAAACAAAAAGGTGAAGAGAGAGATGAAAAGACCAGTGAAACAGATTCAGAGAGAAAATACGTGAGGCAGGAGGATCTGCAGCATCTTTTTCTCTCCCTGGCATTTTTTCTTGGAAAGTTACCTCCTCCTCAAGAGAGGGCCCTGGGAGCTTGCTTTCCTAGTGGCATTAGCAGAGGGTGGCAACTGAAAAGTTCGGAGCACGATGGGAGTTGAAGTTTTTTTCGCTCTGTGTCTCTCAGCCAGTAAAATGTAGTTGCTGTAATATGAATTATGATGTTTTATTGATTGTATTTGATATTATGGTTGGAAACTGGTCTGAGTCCCTCAAGAGAGGTGAGAAGGTCGGTATACAAAACTTTTAAATAAATAAATAAATAAATAAATAAATAAATAAATAAATAAAAAGCCTGGTTGTGTCCATCTTCTGATTGGTTGAGAATGGACACAAACAGCGACTACAATTCCCAAATGTTATGGTTAAAACTTAAAATAATTCTAAAAAATCATAAATTGGTGAATTGTTTTGAAACTTAGTTTCAAACTTAGCCCTGCAGTTGCCAGTGGGGTCTACAACTGAGGTAGGTTTCACGCAGAAAGGCCTTAAAATGGCTGAGGATTGAGCCTTTAAAGTTTCCCATTGTAGCCAATGAGCCGAATCGGCTGAATGAAATGGAAGACACCCCTCCCCTTTCAGGTAACTTTCTGGTAAACAAAATGAGGGGTCGGATGAAAACCGACCCCAAAATGGGATGCCTTTTGGCCTGAAATCACATGCCTAGTTGAAACCATTTTTTTTCTGTGTTCAGAGGAACAAGCAGCTTTTGGAAACAATATAATAGAAGCCATGAATTTAAGTATATATTTTTGGTTGCACTTGGTGCATCTATTTGGAGCAAGGGT